ACAAAAATGTTATGCAATATGCTAAAAAAGTTCAATTTATATCAAATTTTTAACCAAAAAAACTCATTTTTTCATAAATTATAGTTGTTGAACTTAAATTATAAATACATAAAATTTCATATATATATATATATATATATATTGTTTTTATTTTTTAAGAAGTTTGAGGGTGATATAGATTCTAAGTTTTTAAAAACTTGATGAAGCACATTTCGACATTTATAATTATAATAAATATATTTTTATATGAAATGAGTCTTTCAACTTAAATTACAAGTTGTTATTTAACATTTAAAATCGGACCCCCTGAAAGAAATTCCTAGATCCGTCACTGTCTACATATGCAAATCAACAATATTGAAAAAATGTGTATTTATTTTATAGTTATCTAGGTATTGGTGGGAGTAAGATACAGTTCATATATTATATAATAATATCACTATTGTTTATATTTCATCCTATTTCACTATTTATTTATTTTTTAATTCCTGTAAACAGATGTTATATCCGTTGTATTTCATTTTTCTTCACAACAATTCACATAATTAAAATTGATAAGAATTTAACTCTTTTTTTTTAAAAAAAAAATATTATACTATCGATGCACCAAAATAGTTTATATTTTATAATTACCGATTCTTATGAAGTTATGTCAAGGTTATCAAAGACTTGGACTGAACTTTTGTTGGAGTATTAAATGGACCAGTGACCAAACATGTTATTCGAATTGAGCCGATGATTCTATGTTTAAGCTCGTGTTCAGTTAATAAAAGATTAATTTGGCTAAGTTCGAGTTCAGTTAACAAAACAATTTTTTTTAATGAATTGTTCATAAATATGATTTTATATTCGTGAGCATATTTAGCTCGATTGTTCGCTCGTAATCTAAAAAAAACAAATGAATTGTTAACTAACAAGTTCGACTCAACTTGTATAAAAAATGGGTTATGTTCGAGCTCAACTCTATTAAATAAACAAACGAGTCGAACTGAAACAGGCCCAACATTGAAGGTTTTTTCCAACATTGAAGGGTTATGTTCGAACCCATACGATCACAAACATGCTTCAGTAGAGTAGCTCGACGATGGTCCATTTACATAAAATGGGTCATTTAGATAATTCTTCATTGCCCATTAGTTCAGACCAAGCAACACAGAAAGTACAAATTGTATGAACCCAATCAAAGCCCAACATAGATCCACCAAAATGACAAGTTGCGCTTTAACTATAAGTACTGGCCCAAGCCCAATAAACAAAAATCTTTTGTTTAGGAGTACAAGTCGAAGTAGAGCTTCAGTAGCTCTCTTGTTGGTAAACTCATTCGCTTCATAATTCATACAGCCATCCCTACATAAAAAAGCAGATCAACAAATTTTCCCTTTTCAATTTATTGTACTACAACAAAAATACAAGTTCATTAAATTTCCATCAATGCTAAAAGGACTACAAACACCCCTAACTACTTTCCATGTCAGTGCTAAACTATTTCCAATTTTGTTCCATATTATCTGATTCACTCTTTTAATAAACAAATAAAAAAAATTATTAGTGTTAGATATAGACTAAACGCTTAGACAATCGTATATTTTCAACAAATCATTATACTTTCATAGTTCATACATAAATGTTATTTTAAAAAAATATAGTAATCATAAGTATAATATTTTACAAGATAAATATGTATTTTTTATCAATAAAGTATGTGTTGACATCAAATTTTGACCTCGCCTATTAAAATATTACACGTGGATATATGTATTAAATAGATATAACTATAGCAGGTTCTCAGCTATGAGTTGATTATTTAAATATCGATCGAGTTCCGAAGTGCCCAGATCATCCACGTTCTAGCCGAGCAGGATTAATATCATCAGCCCGGCCCGGATATCGAGAAGATAAGAGTTCGACAGACACAATAATTGCCGATAAAATAGACGTCAATCGAAGCCGTCAAGTGTCACGATCGGGCCGTCAAGTGTCACGATCGGGCCCCACGATGTCATCTTACATTAAACACTAATGTTCCCTATTTACCTATTTTTTTAGGCCCATTTGTAAGCCCACATCCCATTTTGTAAGCCTACTTGTAAAGGGGGGGATGCATGATTGAAGGGGGGGCACACAAATCAAGGAGAAAAGGGACGAATGATGGCTCTCTTAAAAAGGACCCACAAACATAGTGAAGGGGGGGAGAGATATTCATCTCCTGAGAATTTCCTGACAATAATACAAAGAGTTCTTGATTTTTCTATCTTGAATATATATACAACCGATCGAACACCGATTATTCACGGAATAGGGGTGTTCATTTTAGTTGATCAAATCCGTTTATCAACAGTATGTAAAGTCGACTCGCAAATGCATACGACTACTCAGGCAAAATATTCACTGGTCATTTACTTATGTTTATTTCTTAATGACACCCGACTTATGCAGAATGCAGTCAAAACATTTGTCGTCACGAATCCAAATTTCATGATATCATGGGATTAAATTTTATTTTATTTAGTTATATGGTGGCATGAGTTGTAAAAGCGCAGTTTATAATGATTTTTTTAACGGTATTTAATTATTAATGTTATTTTGATATGTAAAATTTGTGTTTGAGAAGCGTATAAACTAACTTATAACTTATTTTATTAACTTATAAATTTTATGTATTTAAATAAGTTTGGTTTGGTAGGATGAGTTTTTTTTAAAGCTAGAACTTACCTCATAAACTTCATTGGGTAATTTTCGAATAAGTCCATTGAAATTTTTATTTCAGTTAGCTAATCAGCTAATTTCACTAAATACTTTTATCATATAAACTAGCTTTTCAACCATAAATCATAAGCTATCAGCTGTAAATTCAAAATTTACTTAAAAGGCTTGGATCGACCTCGATTCATTTAAACTCGAAACATGAAATATCTGTTCGCAGACAAGTTAAACTCGACTATTTCATTTGAAACACATACAAAATAATAAAAAATAATAAATAAAATAAATGCAAACAAGCTCGAATCAGCTCGACTCATTTAATAAATGGGCTTGAGCTCAATTAATTGTTTGATTTCGGCTCGTTTAAATAAACAAACAAGCCGAACTACAAATGGGAATACCCACCCCTTTTAAAATTCATCACCATCTTCCCCCAACTCAATTAACTCCATCAATATGAGTCCCAATTTTATTGGATCAAAATTAGTAATAAATGAGAAAAAGAAAAAAAAAAATAACAATAATTAGATAGGTTAGCTATATACAAATCACAGTTCACAGGTAAGTTGGTCTGCCCACCCAAACGCTCATTAAAATCCAATCCAATAAATACAAATCCCCCAAATCCAATACACACACACACAAATCCCCAAATCCTAGAAAATACCTCAGATCTAAAATGGCCGGAATATTCTCCTCCCTCCGGCGAACCTACCTCGCCCTCTACAACTGGATACTCTTCCTCGGCTGGTCCCAGGTCCTCTACCTCGCCGCCTCCACCCTCCGCTCCTCCGGCCCCCACTCCGTCTACGCCGCCGTCGAGACCCCCCTCCTCCTCGCCCAGTCCGCCGCGCTCCTCGAGATCCTTCACAGCATCGCCGGAATTGTCCGATCTCCGGTCACCGCAACCCTCCCGCAGGTCAGCTCCCGCCTCTACGTCACCTGGGGAATCCTCTACAGCTTCCCGGAGACCCGAACCCACTTCTTCGTCGGATCTCTCGTCGTCAGCTGGTCCATCACCGAAATCATCCGCTACTCGTTCTTTGGCCTCAAGGAGACCTTCGGCTTCGCGCCCGCGTGGCTGCTGTGGCTGAGGTACAGCACGTTTCTTCTGTTGTACCCTGCTGGGATCGCCAGCGAGGTGGGACTCATCTACAATGCGCTGCCGTACATGAGGCGTTCGGGTAAGTACAGTGTGATGATGCCCAACAAGTGGAATTTCTCGTTCGATTATTACTATAATGCCCTTCTCATACTCGGGTTTTACGTGCCCGGTAGCCCGCATTTGTACGGGTACATGCTTGGGCAGAGGAAGAAGGCTTTGTCTAAGGTCAAGAGCGAGTAAACAAAAAATTGAAGTTTATTGTTGGTTAAAAATTGATTAGTGTGTACTTGAAATTTGAACTGTGAAGAAGTTGTAATGGAAAAATTGAAATTGTTATTCCAGTTGTTTGTTTGTGTTTAGTATGGACCCTAAGTCATTGATCAATCTGCATTTACTGTGGAAAACTTAATTGGGGGGCTTTTCATGGGATGGTAAAAGATTTGGTTGGTGATTATTGTGCATTAGGAAAAGTCTTGTTAACCCTAGCCTCAGATAAGAAGATGAAAGTACATATAGCATTTGTTTGGCAATTGGCAAGGCTGGGTTTAGTTTTTGTTCCAAACATTAAAGTCATTAGCAGCAAACCAAGAACAGGCTATGGAATTCAGAGTGAATTTCTTTTTATAACAGAAGGTTTTTATCAGAATTCATTCATCTAACAGTTTAAATCCTGTGGGGGTTCGAATCTATCAAAATTCATTAACCTACTCCATTGCATCTAAGTAAATTCAGATGAATCGTATTTATTACATTGCACCCCGATTTTTGTTGTAAACTGGATTGGATTTGACTATTGTGCAATTCTGAGTGCTGTGATTATGAGGGAAAATGCATGCTTATATCATTATAACATATCATTTCATGAAGTGTTTTTGTCAAAGTTTCATCGAATTAGATTCTCCATAGTACAAGATGAAGTAGAAGTTTATGTGCATTACTGCAGAATGTCAAAATCAGTTTCAGAATTTCTCCATACCACAAAATGAAGTAGGTTAATGTGCATTAGTACGAAGTTTCAAAACAACTAAGCTTTAATTTGAACCTAGTAAGCAAGTGGCAAAATTAAAGTTCAAAACCCCTAGTAGGCTTCTGAACCTAGTATGCAAATGGCGAGTTCAAGTTTTACTTCAAGGCTCGAGGAGCTTGGACCATAAATATAGATATAAAGCATGTGAGCTAGCTCAATTTTTATTCAAATCACAAACCCTTAACTCTATAATTTGCAACCCCCAAAAGAATCCATACCATAATGTTATGAAACAACAATATTATCCCTAACTTTTGAACCTAAGGAGTAGCTTGAGATGCTCGACCGAGCTCAATTCACACAACTTGACAAGGCAATACGACTCACCCAAGTAGAGGATTCAAAGGAACAAGTAGTCTCGTACAAATGAAAGGAAAATAAATGGAAATATCATTTTTGTATAGACTTGTTAAAATAGCCCTGCAACATACATATTCCTAACCACACTTTTAACGTTTTACCCTTTTGTCGGCTCCCGAAACTTTCACAAACAGTTATGAATAGAGTTGGTATAATGTCACAAAATTAAGACAGCAATAGAGCACCATCATGGGAAATTCATATGCCGATAACAACTCAATCAAAATACTACCGAAGCACAACAGAAATTGTCACCTCAATTCTAACATCTTTCGGAAAATAAAATTACGGGTTTTCAACCAGACTTTAAAAAAAAAAACATTTCAGGCTTTGTAATACAATAAAATGTAACACCTAGGTGTTAGTGGCCCTGGTGTAGATCTGCTGGCTTGAATGAGCCGATACCATTCTGATTAGACCTCTAGCCATCAATTCCCTAATTGCCTTCCTAGCTAAAGATCCACTGATCTGCAAATTATACATTATAGATTACATATTAGTAAAAGAGGGTCAACATCAATTTCACAATCATTGCAAAAACACATTTAAATGAAAAGGGGTATATGGCTTTTTGAGGCTGCTAGGGTTACAAATGAGCAAGTCATAACAGGGAGAATGTGGCCAAGATTAAATCACTTTCAGAATCATCTCAAGAAACATTCGGATAAAGAAATTAGAAACATTCTAAGTAAAAATGTGGTTACTGGTTAACAAGCAACAGAATAAAAGGGAACAAGATAAAATGACATCACAAAGCGAGTAATTAACAATTAATGGTTACCAGATAACAACACATGGAAAATTATACAAAAGGACCTAATCTTTTAATTAAGGAAAAAGGAAGCACTTGCATAGATATGGACTTCTTGTTCTCAAAGCTTCGAACAAATTGTACAGAACAAGATTTTCAATAATCCGCATTTAGCCACTAACTACTAAGCATAATTAAGAGCCATGAAAAAATGTAACATGCTCCAAATCAAAACCATAGTTACATTTCTAAATCTACGTTCACCTTCATCACCATCATAATACTATAACTACTCTTTGAACATATAAGTACAGACAACATATGCAATTACAAAATTTACCCTGAGACGATCGGAGAGCACAGAGGGAGTGATAAGCTTGTACTTAGGCGCCTCAGACAGCAACTTGTCGTAAGTTGCCTTGTCAAAAAGCACCATGTTGTTCACCTTCTCCTTTTGCTTTCCCTTGCTCCACTTCTGCAAAGTTATTACGATTTGGCCACAGCATTTTCACAAAATTACATTCCGAACTCTAAAAAGCACACCAGCTAAGTACGCAAAGCAAAGCAAACACAAAGATCAAACAATAACGGCACCGACCTTCTTCTTCTGTTTGCCGCCGCCGGATTTCGCCGGTTTGGATGACGGCGGTGGAGCCTTGTCCTTCTTCGGTGCCTGTAAAAAAGGAAGAAAATGAAGTTAAAAAAAATTTGGAAACAGCAAATCTATCTGAAACTCGAAATTCCGGTTGCGTGTAGGTGACAATTGACAATCACGGCGAGATCGCACCATCGGAAAGCGAAGATAAGGTGGGCAGCAGGCGGCGGGGAAACGAGGGCGATGAGAAGGGTAGAGGAGTCTGGCGAGTGGCGACTATTATATCTATAACCTAGCTAGGGTTTATTCGATTTTCATCTTGACGACGTCGTATGTGAGAATTAGCTTTTAAAGTTGGGCTGTTGTGTTGGGCCGATGAGCAGAGCTGTGATAGTTGTTCTGGGCTTAGGAATTGGTTTAGCTCAATTGAACGACCCAAATTAGACATGAATATGAATATCATATTAAATTAGGTTGAAAAATTAGATTGTGTTTGGTAAGTATATAAACTAGTGTATAGCTTATTTGATTAGTTTATAAGCTTTTTGTATTCAAGTAAACATGGTTTGTTAGTTTAGTTTTTTAAAAAAGCTCGCGTTTATCTCATAATAAGCTTCTTTGAATAGTTTTTCAAATAAAACATAATTTTTTTTAATTTTTTTTATCTCAACTAGCTTTATCAATTGATTTTATAAAATATTTTTATCATATAAGATAATATTTCAACCATAAGTCATAAGTTATCAGTTATAAGTTCGAAATTCATTTAAACTATAAAATAACTTATCAACTAGGTTTACCAAATATGATGTAAAAAAAAAAAAAAAGGCGTAGATGCAAATATACATATAAAAAGTGGCCATATTAAATTAATAATTCTATACAAAAAAGGCGCCTATGCAAAATGTGTACTCCGACTCAGAATTCTATCATGCATGCCTACCTTTTATAATATAAACCAAGTGCATATTAATTTAGTTCAGATAATAGCTTCGAATTTTCGAAACTTCCTAAAATATGTTAAATGCAGAATAAAAAAGTATTCCTAAACGGATTTTTTTTTTAACTAAACGGATAAAATTGACATGAGTCCAAATGACATGAGTCCAAATGTTATCACACGATAAAATTGACATGAGTCCAAATGAAAATTCATAGTCAATACTATACATTGAAAGTCTGAAACAATTTTTTTTAACTAAACGGATTTTAAAGGAGCTCGAGCTCGACTAAGTTATCAAACGAGTAGAATCGAACTAAAACATTAATGAGCCGAGCTCACAAAGTTTCATTTAAAGCCCTAAGATTTGGTAGTTCAAAATAGCAAACAAACAAGTAAACCAAACCCTTACGGGGTGAATTATAGTAGGTCAACGGTTAAAAAAATCGAAAATAAAACTATAGTAAGCTTTACTAAGGGCACCCGCAATGGGGCGTTCAAGTGCCCCGTTCAACTTGTTTAAATGCCAACATGGCATTTAATAGCATGGTGGGTGTTCATTTAGGGGTGAGCCCCCCACCATCCGTTCATTCCATTGAACGGCAATTGTGTGGTTTTTTTTTTTTTTTGTTTTTTTTGTTTTAAAATTATTATTTTGTATTTAATGAGTGGATAATGAGTTTCACATATGTATTTAAATGAACAAGTAGGAATGTGAGTGTGTATTTAAATAAAGAGAGATTTAGTGGAAAGATGATATGGATGGAAGAAATTGTTACTTTTTCATTGAATGAAAATGTATTTATGTTAAAGGGATGTGGGCTAAAAACAAAAATTGCAAAGGCTTTTTTAAGGAGGGCCCTTGTTTGAAAATGATTTTCTTCCACAACATTTTTGAATTGCCCCGTAAAAAATCAAACAGCCCATTATCATTGGTGGGTCTGAAGCAATAGTCTGCCAAGGAGGAAAGTAATGCCACGTGGCACTTTTCTTAGTTAGTAAGGAAGATAGAAAATTGACCCCACAAGAACCCAAAACTCACAAAATAGCATGCAAATTTGTTATTTTTTATTTTTTTTACTTTTATATATTTTACTTCCAATTGCTATTTTTTTTATATTGCATTTATTTTGTCACTGTTTACAAATATTTCATAAAATTTCCTCAAAATGTTACTTCCAAATGCAACACTTGGGAGGTCAATACAGTTTGTATTTTTAGTTGCAATTTTCAAATAATTTAGGGCGTGCTTGGATATAAATTTATCCGCTCAAAACGAGTTTTTTTGTTAATCATAGTTAATTTTGAAAAAAGTGTTATGATTAATTATTAGTGAGATTTTTAGTTTTTATATTAAAATATTATTTTAAATAAAATAATTAAAGTTGATTTGATGTGAAAGTATTAGAGAAATGATGTGAAGTGATGGTTAGTTAAAAGTATGTGAGTGGATGAATAATGAATTAAAGTTATGTGATTTGTAAGAATGATTTATTGGTATTATTTGAGTAGATTGATAATATTGATGATAGTCATGTGACTGGGTTAAAGTTCAAGTAGATTTTGAATATTAATTGAGTATTGATTGAATTATATTATATACAAATTTTTTTCAACCCCTATTTTTTAAGATGAGGAAATACTGATTTTTTATTTTTTTAAACAAAGTATCATAAATGAGATTAGTTGGAAAAAATAAGCTATAAACTACTCGCCCAATAAAAAAGAACCATGCAAATATGCAATTGTAGTTACACAGTTATGGTGTGATTGGATATAAATTCATATAGTAAAATTAATCAAAACTCAAACTTAACTCAATTGTATTATCTTTAGTGTTATCCATATATTAAATAATACTACCTCCTATTTTTTTAAATGTCATTTTGGTTTTATCAACAATTAACTAAATAAATGACGTTTTGGAATTTTTGTACATATTTTTCCATTATTACCTTCATCTAGTTAATAAATACAATACGTCTTTTCATATTCATTCTTCATTTTTTCTCAAAACATCTATCTCTATCCTCATTAATGAAGGTTATTATTGACAAAAAAAAAATTCTTAATTATTGTGCAACTTCTCAAAACGACATTATTAAAAATAAGAGGGAGTACTAATCAATTACCATTATGCATCACATTAACTTTATTTCATTGTTTATCTACTCACACAATTTTAACTAACAATCACTTCACATATATCTCTCCGATTTTTACATCAAATCAACTTTAATTATGTTATTTTAAATATTATTTTAGTATAAATTTAAACTCCCACTAACAACTAACCCTATCACTTTTTTCAAAATTAACTATGGTTAATAAAAAAAAATCGGTAAAAAATCAATCAAATTCATATCCAATCACACCCTTTATGTTTTCAACCAATCATGAATAGATGCATTGACAATTGTTCAGATGGTATCTATTTTAAACATGTGTCAATATACTGTTTGAATAATTAAGAAATAGTCCACAGATCGTGTCTTCTGATAATTTCGTAGCAAGTTTGGGCAGACCAACTAGGCTGTCTTTGGTAAGCACATAAGTTAGTTTATACCTTATTTGATTAGTTTAGTTTCTTGTTTTCAAATAAACTTGGTTTGGTAGGATGATTTTTTTTTTTTTTTTTAAAGTTCGAATTTATCTCATAGACTTCTTTGGATAGCTTTTAAAATATGCTTTTGAAATTTTTATTTCTGCTAGCTTATTAGCTAATTTTACCTAACACTTTTATCATATAAGCTAGTTTTTCGGTCATAAGTTATAAGTTATCAGATATAAGCTCAAAATTTCACTTAAAAGTTATAAACTAGTTTATCAATTATAAAATAGTTTATCTGTTATATTTACCAAACATAGTTTTACTTTTTTCTTCCTCTTTAAAATTGAAATAGATCAAGATTATTCTCTACACACATTGCCGGTTATATAAGTTGAACTCAAACTAAAAGCCAAAGGAAAGGTAGTAAGTTATAGCACCTACACACTTTAAAAGAAGTAATAAAAATTTTGGATTTATTAGTCTAATTATTGTAGTTAACTTATTAAATAAACTTTCAGATAGGGAGAATGTAGGTCAACCTTTTATATTCCAAATTTAACTTTTCACTATCTTTTCAACTGCCAAGAATTTCAACACACTTAATTAAGAACACACACTTATCTGTCCTTCCTCTTTTAAGGGGTTAAAGATAATTGATGAATTGTGATTAAGGTTGCTTTTTTTTCTCACTTTCATTCAATAGAAGCATAATTAGTTTATTCTATCCTTATCCAAACTACATAGTGTTTAGATGGTGCATAACTGCCAGCTGGTGATTTTTACTTTGAGGGAATTGGATATGGGCCTATAATAATTATACAACTGATGGTCCCACTCAACCATGCTTTTGATACTCCCATGCAAATGGATTTAAAACAAAATCAATAATTAGAAGCATGTGGTGTATAAGAAAAATTCACCTAGTAAATATAGTGTCTTTTAGTCAGACACTTTGATTAGTCTAACCTTTAGACAAATATATTATAATATACTTGAGAGAAATACCATAAATATAAGAATGATAGTTGATATTATATGCATTTTTATTTATAAAGTCGGTCGACCTACCTATCAATTAAGTTATCACCCTAGAAAAATTGTAATTTTCCGGTGAGAGGTCTCAACTTGAATTCCCACGTTTCGCTTGTTTTGTTTAACCTAACTTGATTGATATTTCGCTTAATAGTTAGAAACATTTTTCTTTTCACTCTCGCATCAAATTTCTCAATATAAACTTTAAAGTAATATATTCATTCATATGTTTATGAATGTACATAATTATTTTACTATTATCGTTCCCAACACAATTAATTATTATTAATTATATTGCATCATTGTATATTACAAACATTATAAAGTCTTCTAATAAATATTTTTCAGAAAAAAAAAAAGAAACAACACGCTATTCATTTATTCACTATAAGTAACTGTGGTCCACTAATATTTATTTTTTGGAACGATAGACATATTATAACTACTAGAGATAAGCTAAAATAGCATAATAGTAGCTACAAAGTTGAATTTAGGAGAATTATACTTGACAAAACAAACAATGCTTAAAAAAATACAATAGAAACACTAAACACCAACTATAGTAGAATAAACCATGGTCCCTTATCATAGAGAAAATAAAAAGAAAAGGAAAAAGAAAAGAAAAGCATGAAAATAAGATAGGGACTTTTTTTACTTTATTATCACTAATTTGTTTACTTTAGAATAAAAAAAAAAAATGGAGTTTATAAATATTATTTCAGCCCTCCAACACTCCCACTCAAAAAAACCAACACAAATATACACTGCATCACACTCTCAAGTCTCAACTCTTGTGCACTGCAAATTATTATCCCAAAGTTCATTTTCATTTCTACTTTTGTTTCTGAAATAATGATCATCATCTTCATCACAATCCCTCTGCACTCTCTCTTCGAGCTCAAAGATCGAGCCAAAACCTCAATCCACCAAAACAATCTCTCATGAAAATCACCTAATCGATCAAAGGAGCTCAAAAGTTCTTCATTCGATTCAATTATAAATCACATCCACAAATTTCCCCAAAAGAATCTAATCAAAAAAAGAGGGAAAGAAAAATGGATTCGTTCAAGTTTCACGATGCGAGAGCACCGAAATCGAACGCGATTTCGAGGCACCGGAGCTTGCGGAGGATCACGGTCGCGTTCCGTTGCTTCGAGCTGCTCGTTTTCCTCCTAATCGCCTCCAGATTCTCGACTCGGTTCGCCTACGATCTGAATCTGTCGAGCGCGTGTTTCAGGGGGATTTCGGTGACTCTAATCAGCCCGAGATTCGTGTTCCTCGTCGGGAACGCGATTGTGGTCGTCTTGTTCCTGATCTCCGGCCGATTTTCCGACCGCGGCGAGGCCGTCGATTTATACGAAGAGTACTCGGGGAGGTCGCGGAGCAGCCGGCGAAAAATTCGGGAGGAGGAGGGGAAGGAATTGGGCGGCGCGTGTGTGTACGGCGTGGTTGGTGGTGGGAGGAGGATGGGAAGGTGCAGATCTGAGGTTGTTGGGAGGGAAAATGGGCGGCGGGATCTGAGGCCGAGCGCGAGCGAGAAGTGCCGGAAAAGCGGCGAGTGCGGACGGAAGGCGGCGGGTGGCGGCGGCGGTTCGTACAAGGAGGATGAGATGAGCGGCGAGGAGTTCCGGCGGACAGTGGAGGCGTTTATTGCTAGGCAGCAGAGGTTTTTGAGGGAGGAAGAAGGGTTCTCAGCCGTGGTTTCTGTGTGAAAAGTCAACGTGCTGTTGTATGTTTTGTGTTGAAATATTACTCATTGTCTACACGTTCCATCACCAATTGATTTTGAAATGGAAGCTAAAGGTGTAATTAGGTTCACCATCTTACGTACCTCTATGTCCCGAGTATCAAAATTTGACATTTTCTCTCTCAAAGACCCAAACTCTTTTTTTTTTTTTTTTTGAGTTCCTGAAAAATACGAATTTTGAGGAGTGATACTGTATAATTACTCTGGTTAATTAAGGACGTATATGGAAACTTTGGAGTTTGGATCTCTTTTAGTTACTTAATTAATATTAATAGAGCATTAAAACATTCGAGTCGAGATTAAGCTCATTTTTGAACCTTTATCAAGCCGAGGACAATTTGTTATCTAATAGAAGCACTAAACAACATTAAGATTGACGTGAATTCGAATCTTAACGAATCAAACTAATCATGTAGTTCAAAAAATAATGCAAAAACTCATAGTTTTCGAATTTGATACGCCTTAAATAAGTTTGAACCAACTTGTTAATTTATCAAGAGACATTAGCAGCAAACAATTATCGGTGTCAAGAGACTTATTATTTATTAACAAACAATCAAACCTAGAATTTAACAGTTCTGCTTGCCAATAATGAGTACTAGTACAACACCCGTGTACTATACGTGTTGTTTGAAAAAAAAATTATAAAACATAAAATAATAGAAAAAACACATGTTGTCGTATAAAAGTGCAAAAATAGAAATACCAAAGTGGATATTATTTCAAATTTTGAAATTTTTTTTTGTACATAACATTAATAGTTTTATGTACAATTTTTCCATTCTTATCACAACAAAGAATTTTCAAGCCTCTTCTACTTTTAACTCTAGATAATGCAACATAAAGTTGACCATGACTGAATACAGGATTAGGCAAGTACAATCCGACGTTAGACAATGTCTGTCCTTGATTCTTATTAATAGTCATTGCAAAGCAAACTATAAGTGGGAATTGTCTTTGTTGAGACTTGAAAGGCAATCTCACATCAAGGAGTCAATAACATCCGCGGAATAAGTACTTTGCTCCCAATATTCCTTCCCAATAGAAATTTAGCCTCAACAACGCGATCTCCAAGTCGAGTGATGACTAACCTGGTGTCATTATACAACCCATAAAATAAATAATGATTATTTATTAAAGTTATCAGTTCTTCTTTCTAATTAAAAAGTAATAAATGCTAAAAACATTAGTTAAGATTTAGGAATGTATAAATGCTAAAAAAAATAAAAGAATGGTCGAGTGATCACTCACCTGGTGCCATTATACAACCCAGAAGATTGATCCATGTTTCGAAGCAGCATTACAGGAATATCAACTTTCAATTTTAAGATGTGATTAGGAACTCCAGAGCATTTTATTGTATTTCAAAAATCAGTTGTGTACACTGAGTGTTGATTTTCTGAATCGACAAACGTCTTGCAAATACTGTCGAAGCTCAAATAAACACGTTCTTCACCAGGTATCATTGACATTATGTAATCATTAACTGCTTCAATGATTTTATTCGTGGGTGCAAGTATAGCTCTCCCTTAAAAAAATGATAGATCATAAAAGTTGCTTAGTAGTGAAGGATAAGTACTTTCAACAATAACAACTAAATGATCCTCTGCATCTTGAATCAGTAGGTCTTTAGGAATATCGACAAAAGTTTCTCCATCAACTTCAATACCAATTAGACCATCACCAATTTTTATGATCCAGTTAGAAAAAACAATTGTCTACATGAATATTCCTTTTCTTTTCTATTTCTTTGAAATTTATTTAAAAACTGAAAGCATTAATGATTCACACAAATTCTTTGAGATTAACATAAATCACACAACCATTTGCTTTATGAGTTATTAAATAAATTGCGAGCGGGGTCTTCCCGACCCTGCAAACTGCACACAAAAGAACAATCACCAAACAACCATCTGTGATTGCATATGTCTCTACTCTTTTACACGGACACCCAAATGAATAGAAATTCTTAAAAGCGCAACACACTGGTCGATTTAAATACCGTGAGATCTCTTTCATTCATATGAAGCTGCAGCCAAACTAAAAATTCATAAAGCTCATACATAACTTTTCCAGCAACAACCTCTAGTGATTTCAGACCTTTAGACTTTCAACTAACATCTACAACTCCAATTTCATTATTTTTATTTTAGAGATGATAATGTGAAAAATTACTTTATAGAACTTGAAATGAATTACAGAGAGAAGTTCCTCCCCATCGTTTAACCATAGCATATTGGAGAATAATGACAACCGGCTCATCTTTTTTGGCTTTCCAGAAGTCAACCATTTGAATAGCAAATTGGTTCCACAGTGTACATTCCATAGTTTCTCCACTTCAGAAAAGAGAATGAAATAATTATAATCAATTAAGTTGATACAAATGTGACTAAAAAGAGATATAAATAATAAATACTACTAACCTCAAGTTAGCGAGATATGTGTTAAGCCTAGTCGTTTCATGACCATCTCGTTTTACTTAACGACTTCATCAATTTTGATGACCTCGACAATGATATCTATGTTTAAATCAAATAACAAAAGTAAATATATTATAATTATTTTAGGATGTAAAAAAATTAATAGATGTTAAAATAAAATTACGTACCACACAAAGATTTCGTGTAGTCAGAGTTGCCCCTCAATTCGCTAAATTCTACAAAATTGAACATAAAGCGAGGGATATCTCGAAGTTCGGAGAGTTTAACTGCCGTACACTCGTGAAATATTAACATATATTGATGTTGGGTGGTTTTGTAATCACCTTTGTTCTCTTGTATCTCGAAATTTGTCATTATGTAAAATGACCCTCTTTTATAATATCTTCATATTTTGAGATGCGCCATCTCGGAATGGTCGCTTGAATTTTTTCACCCTATAAAAATATAATGAAATTCGTTAGTAATCCAGCCCACGAGAAAGGAAATATGAGATGGTAAGAAAGACGACAGAGCGTGTATGAATTCATGATATGAATAGTACTTTCTGATGTTTAGTGCCTTTAATTGTTTCATAAGCTTTGATTTGGTAAACCCATCAAAAAGATATTATGCATCGATATAAGATGAAGGGGGAATGAGAATGAAAGCAAAAATAAGAATCAGAATAAATGGCCTAAATATTAATACACGTACAAAATTAATATATTATAATATTAAGTTATTTATTAGGGAATGTATTGTGAAAGCAATAGAATTAAGGAATCCCACTAATACACGAACACGACAAAGATATAAGATATTATACAGTGAAGATAAGCATTATAGTAAATTGAGTCAGTAAATAACACGGCAAAATAATATATTATAATATTAAGATATTTATTAGGGAATGTATTGTGAAAGCAATAGGATTAAGGAATCCCATTAATACACGAACACGACAAAGATTAAGCAACAATTAATTTTTATCCGAACTAAAAGCCATTTAGGCTCAACACATTTTCAAATTATATTAAGGGGGGATAGCCGCTTTGCATGCAAAGTTTAAACATAACTCATATAAGAAAAATGCTACAAGTACATAATAAATGTACATAGAGATGTACATAACACTCACATGGACTAGGGTTCACTTGATTTTTTATTTTTGGTAAGACCCACTTAATGTGGGTGTTATGTACACCTCTATGTACAATATTATGTACCTATAGCATTTCACCTCGTGTAAATCTAATTCACACTATGAAAGCAGTACAATCGTGATTTGGGTTTTAGGTATTGCTAGAAAATGAATATTAAGAGACATGAGTAAATAAATAAATCAATAATTAAAAGGGGATTTTTTAGATGTTAATATGTTTTGTATGTTAGAAAATAAGTACTTCATCTAGTTTATAATCAATTAATCCTTAAAATTATGATTAAAACAAAAACACAGTTTTATTAGAAACTAGTACAGTCCCCGTGGGGTTTATTATCTCCATCCCTTTTATAAAGCAACATTCAATTAAAATTCAAAGTACTTACTAAAGGAAAGATCATGCCATTAATAATAAATAAATTAATAAATACAATGATAATAAAATCTGTATATTATTGAACACTTCCTTATATACAACGTTCATGGTTTGATTCTTTGGCACGTCATTGTCGCCACAAATTAGGATTTTCAAACTCATTTCTGTTTGTGACACGGGAGACAGCAACATACAATTGACCATAACTAAACACTGGTTTCTTAAGAAAATAAGCCCACATACGATAATGATTGTTCCTGGCTCTTATTTATAGTCATGTCGTAAGAAAACATAATTGTAAACAATCAATCCAATAACATCTACAAAAATATAAGAAAATGCATCATATTGAAACGTATAACATATAAAATAGTTTATTACAGATTTTAAATTAAAAAAAAAAAATTGAAATAAGAAATAAACAAAAAAATTATAACGTACCAAACAACCTGGCTTCATCAATGTTACGAACATCCATTAAAGTTAAAAGTTCCTAAAGTCAAAACGATACATAGGAAAATCACCCCTCCATTTGATAATCTTGGTTTGACTATTGATAATAATCCTCCTTTTTCCAATTGTCGATTTATGGATGCCAATATTGCTTCCCTTTGATAGTTTGTTAAGAAATAAGCGTCACCTTCTTCAATATCACCGATGATTTTTTGGATATTGACAGGTCGAATTATGCCAGGAATTCGTCCTCCCCAAAATATTGCATAATGAATAATTCAATAAATAAATTATAAAAGATGTTGCATAAAATGATGCATTTAAATAATAATAAAAGAATATATTACCTTAAAATCGTGAAAGATAATCTCAAGAACATTTTGGTAATTGCGTACGTCTTCAACTCGTTGGAACATACTAATTATGCGTAGCTTGATTGGTGGCTTATTGGATCTTTTGATATCCTTCATTACTCCAAAATCCGAAACCATTTTCAATGGTGATGGAAAAGATTGTAGAAAAAATTGTTTTGTGGGATGTATTGGATGTCGAATACTTTTTGTTCAATGTTGGTGATGTTTATATAGTCATGTGTATGTGCCATATGTCTGGGAAATAAAAAAATATTTACGTAAGGTATTTAATATGATCCGATCTGATTTTTTTTATTATGATTATGATTGACTTCTAAAAATATGTGTTATCGGTTTTGTTAAAAAAATAAAAAAAATATGGAACGTGATTCACTTGTGAGGGACGAACGAATATTTAGAAGATTATGTAGCAAAAAATAATGGAGTTTGTTACGATAAAATTTGGTAAGACTTTTTGGATAGATTGAAAAATATTATTTTTATTTTGATATTTTCCTATTTATTTGGACAAATCCAAAACTTTAATTTACGAAATTATAATCTTTAATTTTTTGAAACGTGTAAAATTTTCTAAGATAACTTCTATAAAACAAAATGTGATCAAATCATAATTGATTTTTATGCCTCCATATTTCAAATCTAACCATACAAATATGGTATAATTATTTACTATTAATATTTTATTTTTTCAAACGTCTGATTCTCTTAGGTTTATATGAAACAAAGTTCAATCAAATCAAAATTGATTTTTATGCCCACACTAAAACTTTATCAATATGATATGTTTATTTTATTTAGTTATTTATTTTTTTTCAAATCTACAACTCAGATTTTTGAGAGAGAGAAAAAATAGGAAACAAAATCTTATCAAACCTTATCAAATTTTCGAGAGAGGAAAAAAAAAACAAAAAAAATTGGAAACAAAATCTTATCAATAATGAAGATACGTGTTTCTATGAAAAGCTAACAAAATCCCGTGGTTACCAAAATCCTATTAAATTAGTTAACAAAATCCCAATAAATTGGTTAACAATATTGGAATGCATTTTGTTAGGAAAGATTTACGTAATTTATCTATCTAATTAATATCATATTAACGTGTGGTCCCAGTGATACTAATTTAGTATAGCATCCATTATCTCGGAATAATTTTTTGTTTGATTTACAACATTAATTTGAATGGAAAAAAAATCCGTAATTGTTGAGATATCTCAATTCAAAATCTAAATTTTTTAGCATAAGAATCTTCAAATTTGTTACCAATAAAAATAGATTCTTATGGGATTAATATTTAAAATGAACTAAATCTTTGGTATAAGAATCTCCAAATTTGTTACCATAAGAATCTTCAATTTGTTACCATAAGAATCCCATAGAAATCTCCTATGGATTGGAGTTTATCAATATTTAGTATAGCATCCATTATTCTCGGAATAAGTTTTTGTTTGATTTACAACATGATTTTGAAGGGGAAAAAACCCAAAATTGTTAGGATATCAAAATTCAAAATCTCAATTTTTGGCATAAGAATCTCCAATTTGTTACCATAAGAATCCCATAGAAATCTCATATGGGATTGGAGTTTATCAATATTTGGTATAACATCCATTATTTGTGGAATAATTTCTTGTTTGATTTACAACATTAATTTGAATGCGAAAAAAATCCGTAATTGTTGGAATGTCTCAATTCAAAATCTCAATTTTTTGGCATAAGAATCTTCAAATTTGTTACCAATAAAAGTATATTCCTATGAGATTAATATTTAAAATGAATTAAATTTTGGTATAGGAATCTCCAAATTTGTTACCATAAAAATCTCCAATTTTTTTGGGATATCTCAATTAAATTTATTACCATAAAAATCTCCAAATTTGTTACCATAAAAATCTCAATTTTTTTGGTACATGTGTTTTTTCCGAAATTTCCACTAATAGTAAGTCAAGCCATTTATTTTTTTAGTCAAACTTACTATAAAAGTATTTTTTCAACAACCTCTTTATATTACTATAGGTAGGCTATAAGTTTGATTTTCATGTTAGGATATAGCTAAGAATAGAGAAATAAACAATTGATAATATTTAAAATTTACAATACAGTATTTCTCCCAAAAACACTTTATAAAATAGTATGATTTTCATGTTAGGATATAGCTAAGAATAGAGAAATAAACAATTGATAATATTTAAAATTTACAATACAGTATTTTTCCCAAAAACACTTTATAAAATAGTAAAATTGAATGCATGCGTTCAAACAAGTTATTTGGAATTTTCTTCGAAAACTCTATTTTCCCTTATCTTGAAAATACTTGGCCCAGCCAATGAAATTCTGCAGCATCTTACTTGGATTGCAACATTAAAATGAAGGAATATTTATGTGACAACAGTATAATCCACATTCTTAACATTATTTTGGATTTATTGGTACGTACATGAATATATGCTTTCATGTCATATACTCATACGCATCGTCCTGTCGGTTCTAACACTGGAAATTTTTGAACTTTTAAACCAAAAATTGTTCGTATAAACCATGAAAAGAGAATATGAATGTGATACAGTTTGTCTAATGACTCGGCTCTTGCTCAGCACTGCCCCTCTTTTTTCTGAAAAAAAGATCAAAATGAAAAGTGAACGATCATTTATATCACAAAATTCTTACATTCCACGAATTATTCTTGCTCCATTGCCCTTTGTTGAGCAAAGTTGAGCAATGAAATTTGTTCCATTTTCTTATACTTCAAAATCTAATTATTCTTTTAGGTAAAAACGTGTCAATTTATGTAGGCAACTCATAGTGGAATAAATATGTCACAAAAGCAATATCTACTTATTTTCTCAGCATAAAGATTTCTACTGTACCTAAAGAAAGGAGAGTAGATCTCTTCACTTTTTTCCATAATCAGGTAAAGATTTCCAGTTAACTCAAGTTAGATATATTTGTATATATGCACTTGTCTTCATGAGAATGACAATAAACAACACGAGCGGAAGATAACGGCTCGATTAAACAACAAAAACAAAATTTAGTACAAACTCAAACAAAGAATTCATATAAAAATAAACAAAGCCGAGACACATGAAACACGCTTTTCGTAAAATTAATTAATCTTACGAAAAGCGTGTTATCGATAATTGTCACCGGTTAATGCCAACGGTTATCGATAAATATCTCTAATATACAATAATTTTTATAAAGTGACACTTCAAATACACAAGATTCCGGCGAACTTACTGATGTATAGAACTCACAAGAAATGAAAAAATGCAATGAAAATATGAAGTTATGAGATTTTATGTTCTAACGCGTTAATTATCTAATGCCCACGATTAATGCACAGTGCGTATTTGGTTCACAAAGTATCGTAGATTGTGATGGACCCGTGCAACACTGGCCGTGACAGCCTCTGGGTTTACATGCTCGAACTTGTCTGTTTTCAATTTGAACTATTTTTTGAGTTGCAAAAACTCATATTTCCTGCAATTTAATTTAACATTAAATTTTCAATTAGTATATAATGTTTCTGATTTTTTTTAAAAATTTTTCATTTACAAAATACAAAATCATAAAATCGTTACAATATCAATTTTTCTTACATTTCTGACCAACCAAGCAAAGATTTTCTGCTTAGAGTTGCTTCAATGAAGCAGAGTGACAGAAACGGGGGAAAATGGGTGTTGGCCCACTACTATGAATGACACCATGAAAGAAGAGAAAAGCCCATATGAAGCCCAAATGAGGTTCCATCCCAAAACCAATTGGTGGAAGGAGGAGTAGCTCATTAGTCTTATAAGGTGGGTCTATTTTCTATATATGAACGATGTGGGACAACTCACAAGTGATATTCTAACACGCCCCCTCACTTGTGAGTCCTTCGAAAACCCAAACCCAACTGGGCTGGGTGCCCCAAGCCCTACTACAAACAGGCTCCCATAAACGGGTACGTGGGGGATAAACAATGGGTACGTCATCACACGGTCCAAGATAAAACCGGCTCTGATACCATGACAGAAACGGGGGGAAAATGGGTGCTGGCCCACTACCATGAAGGACACCATGAAAGAAAGGAAAAGCCCATATGAAGCCCAAATGGGGTTCCATCCCAAAACCAATTGGTGGAAGGAGGAGTAGCCCATTAATCTTATAAGGTGGGTCTATTTTCTATATATGAACGATGTGGGACAACTCACAAGTGATATTCTAACACAGAGGTTTGTGATAATCACATAAAACGCCAAACAATTTTCAAAATTACAAAATCTCCACAAAATCCACGTCTATCTTACTCCCTTCATATTCCTTACAAAATCCCAAATCCCATATATTATCTTCAACTCTATGACCGTAGGTTCAAATTTGTCCACAGGAAGTGAAGTTCGAACTCGAACTTTTATCTAGTCCGTTAAAGACAGTTCAACTTGTTAACTAAGTCACGTAGCGAAAGTGTACGAAAAGGAAAACAAGAAAAGATCAACTCTCAAGAATATATTTTTTATTTCATAAACACAATAGAATATGATATGAGATACCAGACCTTGGTAGAATACCCAGTAAACCAGCCGACCAAGCCAAGTGAACTGGCGCGATGGTCGAACAGAACAACATGAATGCCGTTATTGGTCGAGCGCCACGGACGTAGGACCAGGAGTCTTTAGATCTGAGACAACACAAGGGGTATAGAGAGGCAATAACATATCGAGCTAATAGGAAAGACTAATGGATAAAAAGGAATCTTAAAGGGTTAATAGTCGCACGTGGATAGGGCCACGTGACCTAACAGAATTGGGCAGTTCGGGTTGTACTTTCAGGCAATTCGGGCAGCCCATTCGAGCAGTCTTAAGTAACAAAGTATCATCTCTGTTAGAATATCACTTGTGAGTCGTCCCACATCGTTCAAACATGGAAAATAGACCCACCTTATAAGACTAATGGGCTACTCCTCCTTCCACCAATTGATTTTGGAATGGAACCCAATTTGGGCTTCATATGGGCTTTTCTCTTCTTTTATGGTGTCTTTCATGTTAGTGGGCCAACACCTATTTTCCCCCAGTTTCTGTCAATCTCCCTATATGAGGGAGGGAGGTATGCCATTATCACAGTTCATTCTCTATTATTCCAAACACTATTTTCTGCACTTCATCTTCTACAAGTGCTCATATTAAGCATTGGAGACTCTTCACATGAAAATTCCTCCGGTGTGAAAGTTTTTGCAGGTGATCACAAGGAGTTCTACTAGCGAGGGAGCTCGAGTTCAGGCCGATTCTCAGTCGGTCGAAAGTCTTTGCGTACCAGAATATGAGCCTTTAAATAAAACTCCTAAGAAGCCCTAATCTTGTCTAACAAGTATAATTACATATATTTCATACCAAATAAAAGACTAGAATAATTAAATAACTTTACTAACAAATCTAGGACTAAAATACTAACAATAAATAAAAGGAATAAATAACTAAATTAAATATCCCAAAGATCATAATGCTTGTACTTATTTTCATCACTAAGTGAGTCAATAAACGAGTTTGAACCCGACTTTATTTATTAATATTAGCTAGCCGAACTTAAGCCTTAACTAATCAATCTATGTTAAAAGTGAAAAAAAATTACGTAAAAACCTATTTCTATAATTATCCAAATTATAAAATACTTGAATCTAGGAAGCAGTTATCAAGTTGCAAAAGTATTTTTTGGCCCCTTCACTTCCTTTTTAACACTGTATTCCAAGTCTCCAACATTCATTCCCACGGCCAAAACAGAATCTGGAAAAAAGAAAAAGAAAAAAAAGAGCGAAAAGAAATTCAGAGCCATGTACCCCAAAATCCAGCTCCCGTCGGCCAAAAAAACCCTCTCCACCGCCGCCTCGCTGGCGGCGACCGTCATGCTTCTCCGTTCCCTCGCTCACGACCTTGTCCCTCACGAGCTCCGCCGCCACCTCCTCACCAAAATCCGCCACGCGCTGAACGCGCTCTCCAGCGAGGTAACCCTAGTCATCGACGAGTACGACGGCCTCGGCCGCAACCACCTCTTCCAGGCGGCGGAGCTCTACACGAGCGCGGTCGCGGGCCCCACCACGCGGTCCCTCCGCGCCTCCCTCCCCGACAGGGAGAAGAAGATCCACGTCGCGGTCGGGAAGGACGGGGACGCCGCCGACGAGTTCCGCGGCGCGAAGCTGAGGTGGCGTATGGTTTCAATGTCTAGGCCCGGACCTCCGGGGCCCGGCGGGCAGGGCGGCGGGAATGTCGAGATCCGGCACCTAGAGCTGACATTTCACAAGAGTCACAGGAGTTTGGTCGTGGACGAGTACCTCCCGTACGTGGTCGAGCAGTCGAAGGCCGTGAAGGAGGCGGAGAAGACTCTGAAACTTCACACTCTGGCGAACGATAGGATGCCGGGGATGGGTAAGAGCCCATGGCAGTCGGTAAGCCTCGACCACCCGGCTAATTTCCAAACCCTAGCTATGGATGATGAGGTCAAGAGCACGGTAATCGAGGATCTCGATCGGTTTCTGAAGAGGAAAGAGTTGTATAGGAGAGTGGGGAAGGCTTGGAAAAGGGGGTATTTGCTGTTCGGGCCACCGGGGACTGGTAAATCGAGCTTGATTGCTGCCATTGCTAATCACCTGAATTTCGATATTTATGACTTGGAATTGGCTGATATTGGGACCAATTCGGATTTGAGGAGACTGCTGCTTTGGACCGAGAATAGGTCCATTCTTGTGGTGGAAGACATTGACGCGTCTATTGATTTGTCTGAGAGAAACTCGGCTGTGAAGAAAGCGCCGACGTATGGTTACTATCATAATCAAACAGGAAAGGCAAGTTTTCTGCTGTTAAGCATTTTTATGTTTGCTCGTGTCATATTCGATCGCAGAATTGAATTCAGCAATAGATATTTCTTCCATGTTAACTAGGAAAATATTGCTGTAGATCTTAGCTATGTTTTCTAGAGCTGACATTAAGGGGCAAAGCTTGCTAAATGCTCGCAAGATAAATCAGGTGCATATGGTGAATGTCGTCCAAATTTGGCATTCTGTATTCCCACCAATGAATTCAATTGAGATTTACTTGTGCTTTATAAGTTTTATACATCTTACTTTTTTCATGTGGGAATCCCTGTATATCATGAAATCAAAGTGAATGCATGGTTACTTTGATAGGACTGCAAAATTCCATAACATGAATTGTAGAAAGAAAACAGTACAGAATAACACGGGACTTGGAAAATAACTCATTTCATCTATGTGAATTATATGACGAAACATGGTAGATAACACATGACTGCACGATAAAACGTCGCAAGACTCAAAATCAAGATATTATAATAAACCCATCTTTTTTTTTTTAATTTTTTTTTTCAGGTTACCTTATCAGGGCTGCTGAATTTCATAGACGGGCTTTGGTCGAGCTGTGGGGATGAACGTATCATAATATTCACAACCAACCACATAGAACAACTTGACCCGGCCCTTTTACGGCCCGGCCGCATGGATGTTCACATCCACATGTCCTACTGTACTCCATGTGGCTTCCAATTGCTGGCAAAAAACTACCTTGGAACTACAGAACACTTGCTCGTGCCCAAAGCCGAATCACTAATAGCTTCAACCAAGGTGACCCCAGCTGAAGTTGGCGAACAGCTTTTGAAATGTGACGATCCTACAAATTCGCTCGAGGGCCTTATTAAGTTCCTCGAGCAGAAAAAGCTAACCTTGGATGTGACTAATGGCGTTGAGTCGAATTTGGAGACTGGTCTCGGTTTTGACGAGCTTAACGAAATCTTGAAGAAAGCTAAAGAAGCACCTGAGGAGATGAGTGAAAGGATACTTAAGAAAGATGAGGCTGCTAATGCCTTGAAAATCTTGATTGGGTTTCTTGAGGAGATTGGAGCTGACAAGGGTAAAGAGTGTGGTGCGAGTTTCGAATCTTCTGCTGCGATTGTGTTGGAATCTGGTGAACAAGACGAGATCGAAATTGAAGTGTGAAATGAGAATGGTGAGATTTTGGTTTTGAGTTAACTTTGCAAGTGTGAGAAATGAGAATGGTGAGATTTTGGTTCTGAGTTAACTTTGAAAGTGTGTGGTGAATAATGTAATGGCATGACTTGGGGCTCATCATTTGGGAACTTTTTGTTAGTCTTTGGTTAATGATTTGTCTTGATGACCAGTTTTTTGTTATTGAGCAATTCAGCTGTATAGTCATATGTTATGGTGTACCAGCTCTCTTTTAAAAGCCTGGCCTTCAATATGTAGTTTGTATTTAACGGGCTTACAGTAGTGGGCCTTTCTATTTGGATTAAAGGCCCATTACATCGGCCCAGTTACCTTATCAGGGCTGCTGAATTTCATAGACGGGCTTTGGTCGAGCTGTGGGGATGAACGTATCATAATATTCACAACCAACCACATAGAACAACTTGACCCGGCCCTTTTACGGCCCGGCCGCATGGATGTTCACATCCACATGTCCTACTGTACTCCATGTGGCTTCCAATTGCTGGCAAAAAACTACCTTGGAACTACAGAACACTTGCTCGTGCCCAAAGCCGAATCACTAATAGCTTCAACCAAGGTGACCCCAGCTGAAGTTGGCGAACAGCTTTTGAAATGTGACGATCCTACAAATTCGCTCGAGGGCCTTATTAAGTTCCTCGAGCAGAAAAAGCTAACCTTGGATGTGACTAATGGCGTTGAGTCGAATTTGGAGACTGGTCTCGGTTTTGACGAGCTTAACGAAATCTTGAAGAAAGCTAAAGAAGCACCTGAGGAGATGAGTGAAAGGATACTTAAGANATGCTAAATGTTATGAATAGCTTCAGTTGCTGATGAGTCAGTTCACTTCTGTTGATGAATATCTTACCAAATTTCAGAATAGACAATCAAGAATAAGGATAAATTTATAAAGTCGTTGGATATTAATATTAACAATAATATAATGAATTTTACATCTATTGGTAAACTACCTAGTACCTTCAATTAGTGGATGTCCACTTATTTCAGATTCTGCAATCAGGAAAGAACAGAGGGAGTTTTTTGTTACTCTGAACTTGGCTTTAATCTTTATTTATTTTGTGTACAACGTAGTCAAAATGAGGAAAGAGCATAGGAACATTTTTTGTCAAAACAATTGCAATTAACTATGCTATTTGAATGCAAAAGGTTACTATTTGATGATTTTTGCCAATTTGAATGCAAAAGGTTAGTAGGTTACGTTTTGATGATGTTTGACAGCCTGTTAGGTAGTCATATATTCAAAATGAACAACATACTTTTAAATTATAATGCCATATTTTAAAAACAATATAAATAAAAATATGATATTTAATAATATAAGTATGCATTATAAAGAAGATTATATAATGTGTCGAGTTAAGTCAACTCATAGTATAATTTATGAAAAAGTATATATATAGATAAGAAAATTTAAATATTATTTTGTGAGTTTTTTTTCCCCGGGAATCAAACACAGAGAAGGCGTTTGTTGATACGAACCTAAAAAGGGGGAGTTCTCTTCTTCGCAACCTACGTCGCTCTCTCTCTCTCTCTCTCACACACACACACACACACACACACACAGAAGCACACAGATAAGTTCAAGAGAAAAATGTATACAGAGAGGTCACAGGCAAGGAGCTAGTCAAAGGTGCCCAATTTTTTTTTTTCCTTTTCAATTAAATTTTGCATTATATATATATAGACGAGAGATTTACAAAAGCCAATATTCGTATCTTTTTCTATGTGGGTTTTACGGTGCTTTGAGAGAGAGAATTGAATATGAGCCCATGAAAAATGGGCAGCCATTGGTTTTTTCTCTGTTTTGCAAAGCCACAGGCTTTTTTGAGGGTATCTCGGGACTAAAAGACACTCTCAACCTCATATTTTTCTCTTGATTTGCCAATGTGTCTGTTTCTATATCCTACTTTCTCTCTCCTTCTTCCCTGCCAAGAATTTAACAAAGCTCCAGCTTTTATAATTAGGTAAAAATCCAATCTTTATTGTGTATATGCAGATATACATTTGTAATTATTTTTTTCTTTTGGCATTTTGGGGATTTTTTTTTTGGCTTTTTTTATTTTTTCTGAAACTAATTCTTGATTACCCAGCTGGGAATGTAGAATTGTGTGTTCTGTTGATGATCTGCTGATGTTTTTTGGGTTTTGTACAATGTTGAGTTATTGTTGATTAGTTGGGGCTTTTTAATCACATTTTTGGTCAATTCTTGTTTTTATGCTTGTGGAGGTATTGTCGTCTTGAGCTTTGCTTATGGTTCGATTATTTCCGCATTCTGTTTTCTTGTGAATCCTCATGAGATTTTCAAAATCCTGTACATTAATAGCTTTTATATTTTCGCACAAACGAGCCGTGAGATAATAAATATCGCGTTAATCTCTAACGTTTGTAGGCAGTTGAGATTGTAAAGTTCGACTTTCGATCAAAGAACTTGCTAACACGATCATGTCGGGACCTCTAGAACACGCATCCACGCCAAGTAAGAACTTACATCATTTCCATTTTTTCTTCTATAGAAAACAAAACAAAAATGTTGATTTGCCTTGGGTCTCTAGATCATCATTAAATGTAATTTTGTCAAAAAAAGAAAAAAAAAAACAATAATAAATTCTTTTCATTCGGCTAAACAATGGCCAGATCTCGAGAAGACTGATGTGGAATGTCTAGATGATGAGAGGAAGACTCGGTTGGGTTCGCTCAAGAAAGCGGCCTTAAATGCCTCAAACAAGTTTCGGAACTCATTGAACAAACGGGGAAGAAGGAATAGCCGAGTAATGTCGGTTGTGCTTGAAGACGAACACGATGCCGAGGAGCTTCAGGCGGTCGATGCCTTCCGCCAGGTCCTCATTCTCGAGGAGCTCCTTCCAGCCAAGCACGACGACTATCATATGCTCCTCAGGTAAAATAAGTTAGTTGATAGCTTATAAGTAAATTTCGAGCTTATATAGCTTATGGCTTGGTGTCTGAAAAACTAGTTTATATGATAACAACGTTTGGTAAAATTAAGGTGAAATAAAAAAAAATGCAACGGGTTTATTTGAAGACATAAAATCGAGTTTTTTTTTTAAAAAAAAAAATTCGTCCTACCAAACCAAATTTATTTGAATGCATGAAGCTTATAGGTGCTTCATAGGCTAACCGAATAAGTTATAAGCTTGCTTATGGTGCTTATCAAATACACTCATAGCTGATAAGCTAGCTGATAGCTTATAAGTGAATTTCGAGCTTATAGCTGATAGCTTTTGACTTGTGACTGAAAAACTAGCTTATATGAGAAAAGTGCTTGGTAAAATTAGCTGATAAGCTAGCTGAAATAAATATTTCAATGAGCTTATTTCGAAAGTTACCCTTACTAAATCAAGCTTAATACAGGAAGCTTATAAGCTAGCTTATGGTGCTTACCAAACACAAACAAATGAAACTCAGAGGGGACTTTTTGTGATTTTTGAAAAAAAAATTGAGTTTCTTTTGTATTAGCTTAAACCTCGGGGAAGAATTTTATTTTTTGTTTATCGGGAAAGAATCATCATGGTTGAGAAACCTTGTTGGCTCAAATAAACAGGTTCCTCAAGGCAAGGAAATTTGATATCGAGAAAACAAAGCAAATGTGGGCCGATATGCTTCAATGGAGGAAGGATTTCGGCGCCGACTCCATTATGGAGGTGCCTTTTTCGTAAAAATATTATAGTTCTTATTCGATCCGAATGAAGAACTTTTTTTCTTAATTTCTATCCCTCAAAATGTTGTTTGAAACAGGACTTCGATTTCAAGGAGAAAGACGAGGTTGTTAAATACTACCCACACGGGCATCATGGGGTGGACAAGATTGGTAGGCCCGTTTACATCGAGAAGCTCGGTCAAGTGGACCCCACAAAGCTCATGCAAGTCACAACATTGGATAGGTATCTTAAGTACCACGTGCAGGAGTTTGAGAGGACCTTCATCGACAAATTCCCGGCTTGCTCGATTGCGGCTAAAAAGTATGTCGACCAAAGCACGACCATTTTGGATGTCCAAGGAGTGGTAAGTTCGGTTTTGTGTTTTGTCTGTGATATTATTAGAGTTACTTTCGAAACTTAGGTTTAATATTTTTTTGTAAAACTGGCTGTTGATAAGTGATGTTCGAGCTTATAGCTTATAGTTTATGACTTATAGCGTAAAAGCTAGCTTATATGAGGTAAAATTAGCTGATAAGCTAGCTGAAATAAAAATTTCAACGAGCTTCTTTGAAAAGCTACCCAGAGTCGAGCTTTTTAAAAAAACTCGTCTACCAAACGAAGCTTATTTAAATACAGGAAGCTTATAAGCTAATCAAATAAGCTATAAGCTAGCTTATTTGATTACTAAACATAGTCTTATAAAAAACCGTGGCCATATTTTTCAAGATTTTAAATGTCCATGATGTTTGTCAAGAAAAATGCAACTCTTAAATTCTCATGTTTGAACATTTTTTTAGATGAAATCCGCTGATAAAATGCTATAAGAGTAGTCTTTTTGGATTATAGCAATGAATATTAAAAATGGATTTGATCGTTTATATAGGGACTGAAAAATTTCAATAAAGCCGCTAGGGAACTCATTCAGCGCCTTCAGAGGATCGATGGTGATAACTATCCTGAGGTACCTTATTCTTTATTTTTCTTTATTTATGTTTCGGGTTAACTTTCTTAAATTCTTTGTAGTTTGAGTACTCTATGATCATTATTTTTTTATTTTTTTTTTCATTTTCCTTTCTGGTTTTGTTCAGACCCTGTCCCAAATGTATATCATCAATGCTGGATCAGGGTTTAGGCTCTTATGGAACACTGTCAAATCATTCCTTGATCCAAAGACCACTGCCAAAATCCATGTAAAACTAATATATTCAGCTCTATTTCCTAGGAATGTGATTAGAATTAAGGCAATATTCTTCTTTCTATTTTTATTTTTTACCAGGTTTTGGGCAACAAATATCACAGCAAGCTGCTTGAGGTCATTGATGCAAGGTATATTTAATGTCTCAAATTTTCAAAATATATATATTTTTTTTTATCCCCATAAATAACAAGAATAGCTTGCATATAAACATAGTGAATGTCTGTAATTGCTAAAAATTACTTTAAAAAATTACTGCCATTTTGTGGCAGGTTAAAGTAAAAAGGAGTTATCTTTATGTGCTTTCAAATGGTAACTTCTATTACATTTCTGCATAATTCACTTCAAATTTAAAGGCAATGGCAAGGAACTGTGCATGGTTTGAATTTTATATTCATTTTTTTTTAATCAACTTTTAGCTTCTCTTTGCAAAACCAACTTTAGACAATTTGCTGCAGTAAATAATTTCTTTTAAAAGTTTTACATGAAATTAAACTCTACTGCTAATTCTTTCTTTTTACCAGTGAGCTACCCGAGTTTTTGGGAGGGAAATGCACCTGTGAAGATAAGGGTGGTTGTATGGTCTCGGACAAGGGCCCGTGGAATGACATTGATATTATGAAGGTCGATTTTTTTTACCGAACTATCTATCTTCTACACGTACCTATTTTTCTTTTTTCTTTTTTTTTTCTTTTTCTATTTTTGTCTATGTAGTTTTCTTAACACATCAAATATGTGACGTTCTGAAAAATTTGCTGTTGAATTTTCATTCGTCAGATGGTCCGTAATGGCGAACACAAATGCTCGAACAAAATGGTCATTTTGTGTGTGGATGAGAACGCGATTTCGGAGGATGAGAGCTTTGTTTCGAAGGTACCAAGTGTTTTAACTTTTAAGTTCTGTATGCATTTCTCACTTGCATCTTGAATTCTTTTGTACCAAATGATTCTCATACTTTTTGTTTTGTTTTTTTTTTTTTAATTTTTTATTTTTGCTTGTATTATAAACCGATGAAATAATGTGACGTGAAATTTTGCAGAGAAAGAACTCTTTCGACTTGAAAGGCGACTCTAAGAGAGGCCTTACGGCGCATACACATCTCTCTCCAGTTCGTGAAGAAGTATATTACCTCTTATTATTTTTCTCCTTTAGACTAAATTTTAGCTACCTTTGTTCGACATTTGCTATCCTATCCATGAAATTGCTCGACTAACTATCGAGTAAATAATCCCCTTTCAGGTGACCAAGAGCTCTCCCAAGACACTTGAATCGGACGAACATGTCCAAATGGTCGAAAAGGCTGTCGCCGCAAATTGGCAAAAGGCGGCACAAAACAACAATTTAGCTCTCACTAAAGGTACATTATCATGACTAGTTCTTAAAAGCTCACATATGAAAACACATAAATTATGGGCTGATTTGCAAATTTGGTTCTATTAAATTATGAATGTAGCAATTGAGGTCCCACTAGAGTGACATATAGTAATTTGAAATTTTGCTACAACTGTTGTCCTTTGGCCGTCAAAATTATAAATTGCAATTTTGGTCCTATTACATTATGAAATTAGCATTTTAGGTCCCCACTCACATATAACAATTTTAGTCATGTAATTTAAAATTTTGCTGCAATTTCAGTCATTTGACCGCTAAATTCCCGATTTTGACGGTTAAAAGGATTGAAATTGCAACAAAATTTTAAATTACAGGTCTTAAATTGCTAATCAAAATACATTCAAAATATATGTGTAGAATTTCGACAAAATGAATGAAATTGCAGCAAAATTTTAAATTACATGACTTCACATGCTATATGTCACTCTAGTGGGGACCTAAATTGATGCCCTCATAATCTAATAGGATCAAACTTGCGATTAAGCTTAAATTGCTATATGTCACTCCAATGGAACCTAAATCACTACCTTCATAATCTGATAGGACCAAAATTGCAATTTAGCCTAACTGTTTGGCATAATCATGTGAATAACCCCCGTTTTTATTTTCATGTTTCGTCTTGGTATAGCTTCGGATATCTACACCGCGTACAAAGCCTCGGAGAAAAACAACAACCACCTTTTCACGGGCGTGTTGACGTTTGTGATGGGTGTAATGACGATGGTGAAAATGACGCGTAGCATGCCCAAGAAGTTGACCAACGCCACACTTTACTCGAGCTCCATAAACGAGGTCGTCAAAAGCCGGGCCCACGGGCTCGACCCGCCTGACGCCCCAATCTCGAGGGCCGATTACTTGATCATGATGAAACGCATGAACGAGCTTGAGGAAAAAGTGGGCCAACTACAAACCAAGCCCTCGACTATACCGCCCGAAAAAGACGAACTCCTTACTAATGCATTGAACAGAGTCGAGGCCCTCGAGCAAGACCTCTCGGATGCAAGAAAGGTCTATAAAGTGAATTAACTAACATTCGTTCGTTTTAGTGTTTTGAGGTTTTTTTTTTTCCTTTCAGGTTCTTGAACAAGCGTTGTCTCAACAAGAAGAGTTGCTTGCCTACATTGAGAAAAAGAAGAAGAAAAAGAAGTTCTTTGCTTTCTGAGGTTGAGAAAAGAAAAAAAACGTGTTTGCGCGGTATAAGATGTTTGCTCTGTGTTCCTCTATAGCGGTTATTATTTGCCTTAGTGCGCGCGTTTTCAAAACTGTCTCTGTAAATTACTAAATTATGAGGTTTGTTGCTCGTATTTAGAGTGTGAAGTGAATGTTTTTGTGTTGTATGTACTATTGAGCAACCATTGGCAAGCCGAAACCATTCTTCGGCTTATGCTTTTAAGACTATAATATATATTTTTTTTTTAAAAAAAATGATGCATGTAATAAGAAACTCTTGTTTTTCTTTACTTGGATGACTGAGTTTTCTCCATTTACTTTG